GCACTTCATCCTAGGCAACAAGAGCAAAACTCCTTCGAAAGAAAGGAGGAAGAGAGGGAGGGAGGAAGGGAGGGAGGGAGGGAGAGGAAGAGAGGGAGGGAGGAAAGGAGGGAGGGAGGGAGAGAGAGGGAGAGAGGGAGGGAAGAAAGAAGGAAAAGAAAGAAAAAGAAGGAAGGAAGGAGATAGGGAGAAAGGAAGGAAGGACAAGAAAGGGAAGGGAGAGAGGGGGGAGGTGAAGGAGAGAAAGGGAGGGAGTGAAGGAGGAGGGAAGGAAGGGCAAACTTGGACCTTGCAAATGCTTGGTACTCTTGCGTCTGTGACTTCACTTAACCCCACAAAACCCCTGCTTCCACCATTTTACGCTTGGGGAAACCGAGGCTCAGAGAAGGAAAACACATTCCCAGTGTCACGCAGTGCTGGCTTCCAGCTGGGCAGTGCTAGGATCAAACCCTGGTCTCCAGGGAGGGTCAGCTGCAGTTCATCAGGGGAACAGCCTGGGCCACCGGGGCCGCGTTTCGCTGGAGAATCACTCCCTTCTCATCACAGCCGGCACCTCCCGACCTCGGCCACACGGGGGCAGCAGCGCCTCGGCCAGGGCCGGGCCTCGCGCTCAGGTTCCTTCCGTCCGTGCGGCCGGTTCCGAGCAGGAGGGGGCCGCGTCTGGGGCCTCCAGGGGCCGCGTCTGGGGCCTCCAGGGTCCGCGCGGGGCCCGGGCCTGGTGCTGCCGCTCCGCTGCCTTCGTGCATGGAGGACGGGCCGTATGTGAGCCCCAGACCTGTCTGCCTTGCTGTGCGATCCAGGTAAGTGCCTGCCCCTCTCGGGCCTGTTTCCCCATCCAGCGTAGAGTTGGTTTAGTTCAGGGCGGCAAACTGGCAGTCTGGAGCTTTGACAGCTTTTCTGGAGCCACGTGGCCAGGCCAGTGGACCACGTGGCCGCCTCCGCCAGCCCCCAGGGGCGACTCAGTGGACTTACGCCCCCCACCTACCCGACCAAGGCCGGAGTTTGTCAAGCCACCTGGCCCTCTGGAGACACCAGGAAACAAAGCCAGCAGTCCCCCATGAGCCAGGCTGGGGAAACAGCCTTCCAGGAGGGGCGACCAAGGCCCCCACCCAGCCGACCACCTGCCCGCCCGCAGGAACACCGTCACAGCCCAGGGCAGCCGTCCTCTGCGGGAGGGAAGGCTCAGCCTCGGGCATGGATGACAACAGATTACTTTTTTGGGGAGACTTCACTTTTTCTCCTCTGTAAAAATAAGTATAACCCAGAGTGGTCGTGAAGTTTGAGATTGTATATATACATATTACTTGTCACGGGTCCTAGCACAAACTAATAGTGTCTAACCACATCAGGGGACTGCTCCAATCCCACCATGAGAAGACGCCCCAGATCCCCAGACTGCCTCTCCCCACTTTCCCCTCCCCATCCAGAACCAGGCACCAAAGCGCTGGATAAACGCAGACTCCGGGATCACAGAGCAGGAGGGCCTCAGGACCCGAAGCATCCTCTGGTCTCTGGATCCATTCCCCTAAGACTAGCAACTTGCCCATCAGTAAAGTCATGGGAGGGATTCCCCTAGGTCAGTCTCAGTAGGTCACAAAGCCTGTGTCCCCACCCAGGCAGCCCAGGCTCCAGATAACACCAAGTGCCTCTGCCAGGCTGGGGTGGGGCGAATCATAAAAGGGGCCGTGGAGCCACTGGTGGGTTCCAAGTCTCGATTTCACAGAAGCAGTGGAAGCCTAACGGGCATCACTACCTCCGTGCAGATGAGTCGGAGACTCCGGAAGCTGATGCGATTTGCCTGAGATCCACGCAGAGTGAGACTCAGAGGCCGTATTGGTTCGTCCCAGAGAGAGCTGGGCTGTCTGTGGGAGCCCTGACCCACTCACGACAGCCCAGGGATGGCCCACAGCCTGTGGCGAACTCCGTTCATTCAAAGCCATTGCCCTTCCCTCTCTGTCCCCTGCCAGTGGGTGGCAGCCCCGCACAGAGCCCCTCAAGCCTGAAATGTGGCATCTCTCAAAACGTCTCTGAGCCCCCTTAATTGCACACCTCCCACCCAACTCACCACCAGACCCTGTGGATTCTCTCCAGGCCCACCTTTTAGGGTGACAGAAATCGGCTTGAACCACATCTGTGTTGCGCCTTCGGATTGGGGTGCGCGCTCTTCAGATTGCCAGAGGCTTCACGGCTTGCTGCTGCATCCCCAGCTCTGGGGACCCGGGTCAGCTGCTGTCGTGTACTGGGCTTCGCTGATGTGCTTTTTACAGTGAGGAAATAGTTCTTTGCCCCATCAAGTGTGCAGGAAGGAAAACTGGGCAGAGAGGTCTGCCTATCTGAAGAAAAAAAAATCAGAAATGATTTTCTTCATGGGAGATAAGGCAATTTCTAAGGAGCATGCAACCAAAATGCATTGTGTGTAAAGTGTGTAATACCTAAATTTTTTTGTTTGTTTTGAGATGGAGTCTCGCTCTGTCGCCCAGGCTGGAGTGCAATGGCACGATCTCGGCTCACTGCAACCTCCGCCTCCCGGATTCAAGCGATTCTCCTGCCTTAGCCTCCCTAGTAGCTGGGATTACAGGAACCTGCCACTATGCCTGGCTAATTTTTGTGTTTTTAGTAGAGACAGGGTTTCACCATGTTAGTCAGGCTGGTCTCGAACTCTTGACCTCAGGTGATCTGCCCGCCTCGGCCTCCCAAAGTGCTGGGATTACAGGTGTGAGCCACTGTACCTGCCATATCTAATAGTTTTTATATTCAGCCCATGTTATACATTTTTGCCACCTGTCTGGCCACTGTAGGGTCTGGAGGTTGCAGCCCCTGGGTTAGAGTAATCCCAGAACAGACTTACAGTGAGATGGGGGTGGGCGTGGGCAGAGGGAGAGGAAGAGTCAAGCCATTTAGATAACTTGGATTTACTCTCCAGTCCCCAAAAGTCAGGAAGGGGGCACATAGGTACTACCTCCTATCAGACTCGTAATCATTGCCGCTTCCGTGCACCTCCCTCTGTTTCCCACCCAATTCCCATAGACTGGGCGCATCCGCTGTCTCCTGTCCACAGTGTAAGCTGCAAAGCCTTGAGTTGTCTCTCAAGCCTCAACCACCCAGGTCCTATTGAAATGATTATGTGGTTTTTTTTTTCTTTAAACTGTTAATGAAATGAATTGTATTAATTAATTTCCTAATAATAAATCAGCTTTGCATTCATAAGATAAACACAAGTTCATCATAATACACTGATTGATTTTTTTTTTTTTTCGAGATGGAGTCTCGCTCTGTAGCCCAGGCTGGAGTGCAGTGGTGCAATCTCAGCTCACCACAACCTCCGCCTCCTGGGCTCAAGCAGTTCTCCTTCCTCGGCCTCCCAAGTAGCTGGGATTACAGGCATCCAACACCACACCCTGCTAATTTTTTGTATTTTTAGTAGAGACAGGTTTTACCATGTTGCCTTGAGTGCTCTCGATGCCCTGAGCTCAGGCAATCCGCCTACCTCGGCCTCCCCAAGTGCCGTGACTATAGGCGTGAGCCACCGCACCCGGCCTATACTACATTTTTCAATTATTGTTGTCGCTGAATTCACTGTACTAATAATTTTCAAGAATTCTTGGAATCTATGTTCGTAGGTAAAATTGACGTGAAAGTTTTCTTTGTTGTACTGTCTTCATCTGATTTTCAAGCTTACGCTACCCGAATGAGGTAAACTGACAGGTGTTGACTGTGTTTCTCCACTGTGGAGTAGAAATCTGGGCAAGCTTAAACTTACTTGTTCTTTGAATGTTTAGCCAAATTGGGATTTGGTTCATCCCACTATCTTCCAGAGAGGGCTGGGCTGTTAATTTGGTGAATTCCAAATTCACATACCTGGAATTGTCATCTGGGACAAATGTTTTCTTTATAGGAAGATTTTAAACCACTAAATTAAGGACCTTTCAGGTTTTCTATGTTTTCTTGAGTCAATTTTAATAAATTGTGTTTTTCTAGGAATTTTGCGATTTTGTTTAAGATGTTGCATGCATTGGCATACGGTCACTTATAATAGTCTTGCCATATTTAATATTATCCACGGACTCTATGAAGCACCTAGAATTATGTCCCTTTTTTCATCCTTAATATTGCTTATCTGTGCTCTCTTTTACGTCTTAAACTTATAAGAGATTTGTATAATTTTTTTTAGTTCTTTCCAGAAATAATCCTTCGTCTTTGATTATCTTCCCTACTTGGGTTTGTTTTCTTTTCTTTTTTTTTTTTTTTTTTTTGTGACATCTCACTCTGTTGCGCAGGCTGGAGTGCAGTGGCATGATCTCAGCTCACTGCAGCCTCCCATATCTGGGTTCAAGCAGTTCTGCCTCAGCCTCCCAGATAGCTGGGACTATAGGGGCATGCCGCCATGCCCAGCTAATTTCTGTATTTTTTAGTAGAGATGGAGTTTTGCCATGTTGGCCAGGCGGGTCTTGAACTCCTGGTCTCAAATGATCCACCTGCCTCAGCCTCTCAAAGGGCTGGGATTACAGGCGTGAGCCACCATGCCCGGCCATTTACGTTTGTTTTCTACTTTGTTAATTTCCGTTCTTAACATTTGATTCCTTTTACTGTCTTGGGGTTTATTCTGCTGTTCTTATTTTCATTTGAAGCATTTGTTTTTTCTCCCTTTTTTTTTTTTTTTTTTTTTTTTAGAAAGAGTCTTGCTCTTTTGCCCGGGCTGGAGTGCAGGGAGGCCATCTCAGCTCACGGCAGCCTCCACCTCCTGGGCTCAAGCACTCCTCGTGCCTCAGCCTCCAAAGTAGCTAGGACTACAGGTGTGCACCACCATACCGAGCTAATTGTCTTTTTTGTAGAGACAGGGTTTTGCAAGTTTGCCCAGGCTAGTCTCGAACTCCAGGGTTTAAGCAATCCACCTGCCTCAACCTCTCAAAGTGCTGGGATGCAGGCGCGAGCCACCACGCCCGAATCATGAAGCATTTCTTATTTGCCAATACCAGCATTGAAGATTATAAACTCTCCTCTAAATACTGCTTTGGTTGGATCTCACAAGTCTTGATGTAGAACATTTTTGTGAATGCTCAGTTCTAAGTATTTTCTAATTTTAGCTGTGATTTCATTTTTGGACTACGAGTTGTTTAGATGTACTGTTTTTCCTAAAGTACAAGCATTGACTCCTTGTCTTTTGGTTATTAACATCTGACTTGTTTAGATTGTGATCGGGGAATACAGTCTGTGTACACATTGTGGTGGAAGCTATGACTACTGCACAGCTTCCTCTTCTGGAACGAAGGAGTTAGTCTCCCAGCTTCTGGGAGAGCTGCTGGAGGATGGCCCCAGCTGTCTGCTCTCCTAGGAAGTTATGTGGGCTAAGGAGATTGCCTTGCCCGATCAAGACCATGCTTCCTTCGATGAACAGCCTGCATGCAATGGCTGCTCAGGGTGGGAGTGTAAAAGACTGGTTTGCTACCAACTCAAGACCCTTCTGAAGGACGACCCAGCTCCAGCACTCTCCACGGAGCTGGCAGAGGCCTCCGTGGCATGGCATGGCAGCACACCTCTTCCTCCGCGCACACCTGCCGCATCCCATCCATTCCACAGGTGCCGATCCCAGCAGTGTTCCCTAATAAAATCCCTGCACCCCAGTCTGCATCTCAGAGCCTGGCTCCAGGAGATCCAGCCTACCGCCCCAATCTTTCACATGCATTGAGGTTAGTTATAATCTATGATATTTTGCAAACGTCCTATGCATGCTTGAAAAGAATGCGTTGGCCCCAATTTGGGGGTTTCACGTGCTACGTGTTGATTACATGAAACTTGTCATTGCGTTCCTCAAGTCTCTGGTTTTTTCACCACAATGGCCTAAAAATATCCCATCCTGAAGGTCGAGATGTCTATTCTTGTTCCTTCCATCTTTGCTTTATATTTTTCGCAGCCATGATCATATTGTATATAAACAGAACTGTTACGGCTTCCCAGTGAAATTGAGCCTTCCACCATTAACTAGTGACCCTTGTGCCTAATAATGCTTTTCTCCCTTAAAGTCTACTTTTACCTTATATTAGTATATCTGATGCAACTTTCTTTTAGTTAGTATTCACCTAGCATATTTTTTCTATGTATTTTTCTATACTTGGACTTTCAGCTGTTCTTGGTTCCTATGTTTGAGGTATGGGATTATGTTCTCTTGTAAACAGAACATAATCACTATGTTTTTAAAAATCATTCTGGAGCAGGTGCAGTGGCTGACACCTGTAATGTCAGCTCTTTGGGAGGCTGAGGCAGGGAGGATCACCTGAGGTCAGAAGTTCAAGACCAGCCTGGCTAACATGGTGAAACCCTGTTTTTACTAAAAGTACAAAAAATTAGCTGGCCATGTTGGCAGGTGCCTGTAATTTCAGCTACTCAAGAGCCTGAGGCATAAAGATCACTTGAACCTGGGAGGCGGAGGTTGCAGTGAGCCCACATTGTGCCATTGCACTCCATCTTGGGCAATAAGAGTGAAACTCCGTCTCAAAAAAAAAGAAAAGGCTCACACCTGTAATCCCAACACTTTGGGAGGCCGAGGCAGGCAAATCACCTGAGGTAAGGAGTTTGAGACCAGCCTGATCAACATGGAGAAATCCTGTCTCTGCTAAAAAGACAAAATTAGCTGGGTGTGGTGGTGCATGCCTGTAATCCCAGCCACTCAGGAAGCTGAGGTAGGAGAATCACTTGAACCCGGGAGGCAGAGGTTGTAGTGAGCTGAGATCACGCCATTGCACTCCAGCCTGGTGACAGAGTGAGACTCTGTCTCAAAATAAATAAACAAATAATAGTTAAAATAAAATTCATTCTGACAGTCGTCTTTTAACTAAAGAATTTAGTCCTTTAACATGAATTACTGATAACGTAAACTTAGATGGAGATTAATTTCCACAATGTGATTTCTATTCTGCTTTTCCTACCCTCAGCCCCCGTTCTTACCTTCCTTTGAATCATTTGAGATGTCTGTCTTCTTTCTCTTATCCTAATTTGTCTTTCTAATTATTTAGAAGTTGCAAGCTCTATGACTAGTTTTTAGTGCTTCCTCTGGCTATTTTAACACTGAGCACTTAACAAAGTCTAAACTTCATACATTTGCCTTCTCCCCAAATAATAGAAAGACATTCACAACTTGAATTTTGAGCATTTTCCCATATCAGATGGTATCGTCTAGTATTTTAGCACTGGCCCGTTTTTCATCGTAATTACACATTATTATTGTGGAGTCATAGACTCCATGTTTGTTGAGTTTTCCACCAAATATTTCCAGCGTATTTGCCCATCATTCCTTCTTGTATGCCTGGCCTTTTCTCTGGCATAATTTCGATTCTGTCTGAACTACATTACATTTATATTTTTCCTTAGTGAAGATCTTTCAGAGGTAAAATCTCACCGTTTCTATTTCACCTTCAGTCTGGAAGGATAGTAGAAAATTCTAAATTGACCGTTGGTTTTTTCTCAGTGCATGAAAGATATAATTTCACTGTGTTTCCATTGATGATAGTGATACATCAGCTATGAATTGAATTATTGATCCTTTAGAGATTTTTTTTTTTTGAGACAGAGTTTAGCTCTTGTTGCCCAGGCTGGAGTGCAATGGGGCCATCTCAGCTCACTGCAACCTCTGCCTCCCAGGTTCAAGTGATTCTCCTGCCTCAGCCTCCCCGGTGGCTGGGATTATAAGTGTCCGCCACCATACTTAGCTATTTTTGTAGTAGAGACGGTGTTTCACCATGTTGGGCCGGCTGGTCTCGAACTCGTGACCCTGTGTGATCTGCCCGCCCTAGCCTCTCAAAGTTCTGGGATTACAGGTATGAGCCACTGCCCCTGGCCAGATGCTTTCAACATCTTCTCTTTTTTTCTGATGTTCCATAGTTTTCTTGGGATGTATGTAGATAGGAATTTCTTTTTATTTATCTTGCATGGGATTCACTGGGCTTCCTGGATCTTAGATTTGTTATGTACAACGATTTCACAAAAGTATCAGCCACTACTTCTTCATGTATTGCCTATTCCCCTATTTGGTTAGCTCCTTCTAGAACTCTAAATACATTTACATTAGGCCCTGTCTCTGAATTTTTCTGGATAATTCCTTTGGTTCTACTAGCTTATTAAACCTCTCTTTGGCTGTGTCTAATCTGCTGCTCATTCTGCGTATTTCAAATTTCAAATGTTATCGTTTTCACTTCTGTTTTATTTGATTCTTTTTCAAATCTGCTTGTTCCTTGTTCTTTTTTTTTTTTTGGTCTGAGATGAGTCTTGCTCTGTCTCCCAGGCTGGAGTACAATGGCATGATCCCAGCTCACTGCAACCTCCACCTCTGGGGTTCAAGCGATTCTCCTGCCTCAGCCTTCCAAGTAGCTGGGATTACAGGCACCCACCACCATGCCCCGCTAATTTTTTTTTTAATTTTTAGTAGAGACAGGGTTTCACCATGTTGCCCAAGCTGGTCTCAAACTCCTGACCTCAGTGATCCACCCCCATCAGGCCCCCAAAGTGCTGGGATGACAGGGGTGAGCCACCGCGCCCAGCTCTGGTTGTTCCTTATACGCTGTTATTCCCTGTTCATATTTCAAACTTCTCTTTTAAATCTTTGAAAACATAAAAATAGTTATTTTAAATATATATTCTGCATGTGATCATTTCAAACCTGAAAGCTCAAAGGTTCCACCTCTGTCTCTTGTTTCTGCTGGTCTTATTTTCCTTGTGGAGTTTGTTATTTTTCACTGTGAGCTGCTCATTTTCTTGGGAAATTTGTGGATGTTTCTATAAGGCTGAGATGGCAGCTAAAATTCCTCGAGGAAAGTTTAAGGCTTGCATCTGCAAGCTGACTGCAGGTACTATCAAGCAGGGGCCAGTTTAAATTTTCAACTTCAGTGTTTTTGAACCACACAAGTAGCAGGAATTCAAACTAAAAATCACGTGAGGGCCAGCTTGTGGTTACAGATTCTCAGTGGAGATATTTTTCTCTCAACCCAATGTCAAGGTCAGGGCAGGCAAGCTTCCTTTCTGTTCTCCTCTGCGGGGTGGGATTTGCTTTTCATTCTTTCTGACACTCTAGACATAGACCTTTTGGACTCTGGCTTTGAAGAGGTCTCCTGTTACATCCCCCCTCGGGTGAAGCCCAGACTTTGTCTCCTGTTCCTTGCACCTCACACAGCTATGGAAACACAGGCTCAAAGTCTCCAAGGCGTCCACCTTTGCTCCATTTTGCAAATCCATCACTCTTGCATTCATGCTAACTCAGCAATGTGTTAAAAAAAAAAAAAAGATTAAAGCAATATTTTATCCCGCATTTTGGTTATAATCAGGGGAGTGATTCAAGGTATCGAATCTGGCAAAGTGCCAGAAACAGAAGCTCTCTCTGAGAACTTTCCAGAGCGTGCCTTGGCCTTGGGTCTGCACTTCTCTTTCAACACACACAAGAGCGTATTCACAGACGTACCTGTGGGTTGCTGTTGCCGTTGCGTCTGCAGCCAGGAGGAAGGGAGAGTTCGGGGTTCTCGATCTTGATGTGGCCGTGAAACGGTGCAGACTCTTGAGAGATGTCTGGAGAGAGTGGAGTGGCGGAATGGCGGCTGTGATGATGGCGTTTGAGCACGTATTTGCACGTCACCCCGCTGTTAATCACAGCTTCCCCTCTGTACCGTGGAATGCATTTCAACCGGGATATGGTCACAGAAAGCTTCAAAACTGACCTGCAAAAAAAAAAGAGTTTTCATGCCACAAAATGAAAATACTTCTTGCCAGTTGGAATCACACCAACCAAAGCTGGGGCCTGTGGATCTCAGCAGCCCTAACCAGAAGGCCCAACCGACGGGCGTCAGGAGCCTGGCAGGAAAGCGCTGGACTGTCTGATGGAGCGTGGATGCTGCAACCCTCATCTTTCTTAAAATGGAAGCAATCCTGGTCCCTAAATATACACGGGTCTTTCAAAACCTTGCTCCTTCTCCCACCTACCTTCACACTTCTGACTCAAGGGGGAAAAATAGCCCTCCAGCAATTCATCTTCTTCACGGGCTGCCGGCAAACTTCTCATTTTTTTTCACAGCTGAGTTATTTCTGATCTATGTCCTGGCAAAAAGAAATATAGAGCAACGGTGGCGAGGAGACGTTTGGAAGCTGTGCCAAGCCAAACAGTGTCTAAAAGTCTACATCTGAGCCGCCAACCTTGGGAAAGTGTATTTTAACTCTACAAACACACACACACACACACACACACACACACACCCCAAAACCTTAAAACGTGTGATGTAAAACGAACTTAAAATGAGGGTCAGAAAGGAGCTCTCATGAGTTATAATGGGAGGCAGCCCTCCAGCCCCCGAACATGTGACCTCGCACACCCCTTCCGAAGTCATCAGAAGAAGCACAAAGCATTGCATCTCAGCAGGTCCCAGAGGCCCCTGGTGACAGCAGAACTTGGGAGGTGACAGATGAGCTTGTGAGCTCACCGCACTGGGACTGACGGCTTCTTCACCTCTTAGCCGGGTGCTCCTGGGCAATGCATTTGGCCTGAGCCTTCGTTTGCTGAACTGTGAAACTGATGCCAAGAAACCTACCTCGTGAGGTCAACATAGCAATCAGATAAAATTATATAGGTAATCCTACATAATCACAGCGGTTAGAAAGTTCTAATGCCTACTAAGTGCTCGTGATGACAAATGCCACATTTTTATGCTGTATT